TTCATTTCTGATGAAGGTGACCAGCGATGGAACAGTCACCAAGGGGGATGGGCTCCCCGGTCGCTTCTCAGGCTCCAGCTCCGGGGCTGACCGCTACCTGACCGTCTCCAACATCCAGTCCGAGGACGAGGCGGACTATTACTGTGGAGCCAACTATAAAAGTGATGACCAATTCGGGTAATCCACAGTGACACAGACAATGGGGAAATGAGACCAAAACCTCCTTCCCCATCCCCTCTGCCTCATGGGGACCAGGGTGGGCTGCTCCCTGTCCCATCTGCCCAGGGCCCTGAATTTTGGGCTTCCTCCTTGCAAACCCATCACCCTCACCCTCTCCACAAGACATCCCTTGGGGGAAGCAGACACAGATTAAAATTTAGGTGGTTTAGACAATACAACATTCTGTTTTCTCCTCCCCAGGCCCGTAGGAACGATGCTGAGAGAGACCTGACGGGCCCAGGGGCACATGACCTTGGATGGGGGTGCTGGGCTGAGATGACCCCAATCACAATAGCCACCAGGCGCTATGCTCCAACTGTAGGATCTCTCAGGGAAGGAACATGGATCTTGGGGTCCAGAAGTGACAATGAATGTCTGACCATCGTGTGTCTCAGCCCATGGAGAAGGGAGGGAGTCCTGTCATGACTGGAGGCTCAGCAGGAAGCATGTGGCCTCAGGGCAGGGAGGACAGGAGAATTGACCCTGAGGTGGGAACAGAGCTGTGTCCTAGAGCAAGTCAGGACCAGTGGGGGAGGGGGCTGTGCAAGACAGACGTGGACCAGGCTGGGCTTCCCCAACTGGGGCAGATTCTCAGCTTGAGGCACGAAGAATGGCTCCATGTCTTCCCACAGGACATTCTTAGGACTGGTCAGGACTATGTGCCCCGGGACAACACTGGGATAGGAAACAGGTGATGCTGATGTGGAAAATGTAGTCCCACCACCCCAAGTCTCAACCTGTGGGTGAAGCAATCAAAAGCACTTGCACGGGAGATGTGTGGATGTGAGGTTCCTACACAGCATTTCTGGATATTGAAAAACAAACACATTTCACTCACCTGGACCATGGAGTCCACGGGGAGCAGCTGTGTTGACCAATATCTCTGATCCTGGGCCCTGACCTGACCAGGGTCGGGTGGGATTTCAGGGCTGGATCCTGAACCTCAGCTGGGGCCCCAGTGATGGAGGGCTGACAGGGAGAGTCCAGGGGCTTCCTGTGGCCTGGATGAGCACACGGAGGCAGGAGGGGAGGGGTGGCGGGTCTCCCTGGGAAGGATGGTTGCTGGTGTAGGGGAGCAGGAGTAGAGAGGATCCTGTGGCTCAGTGCAGCAGGGACCTCTGTCTCATGAGTCTGGCTGCAGACTCAGGAGACACAGGGCCATCAGGGAACAAACCCACTGCCATGTGGGTCCCAGCACCTCCAGACCTCTGGGACTTATGCTGCTAAGAACAGGAAGAAAGTCCTCAGGAACCTCTGATGGAGAGACACAGGGAAAGACTCCAGGG